GTTAAGTGATTATCTGCTTCTTGTGGTTAAGATGTACTTCCAAAAAGCAGCTCAATCTCAAAGTTGTAAACAATTTGATGAAGATTGAGAAAATAATCTTTATAAAGTTGTTTTTGTTTTTATTTTAAAATCCTCACCAAAATTTACATAACAAGTTTATGTTTGAAAAAAGAAATTGATGAGTGTATTACCTCAATGCACCAATCTAAATTTAAGATAAGGCCAGTTGTGACAGATAACCATTCTACCAATGTTAATGCATTTTTATAGTTTTATAAAGCATATATTGGTGATGGAAAACTATTAATTTATCATTCAGTTTAAAAAAAGGGTGTATAAAACATACTTATTATTTGATATACTTCGTTTTATAAAAAATGTAAGAAAAAACTTATTCAATGCAAAAAAAAAAAAAATTATTCTTTCTCATTTGATTTTTCCAGAGACTATGTAAAGTTACTGCTAGTTACATTGTAGGGAATATATTTCTTAAAGTTTATTAAAAGATTAATTATTAAACAGGCAAGTAAAATTAATTATCAAGTCACATATTTTAGAAACAACAAACAAGTTGTCAACATTGATAATATTTGACGAAACAACTGCAGCTGTAATTTAGAGTTATTTTCCTGAAAGAAATAATGCAACACACTTTAATCATTATTTTATAAGTTATTTATCATACTTAATTCAAAGCAGAAACTTAATTTATCCAATCAAGCTCAGCAAAGCTGATAACAAACCCACACTTTATAGAGATATTGCAAATAGTACTGAAATTCAATCAAAATAAAATTTGATAAATAGTTTACATTAACCAAAAAAACTTCTTGTGTTCTAATAACAACACTACAAGCAACTGTATCTCTTGTGAATGATTTTTTTGAAGAAGGCTTTGCAGTTGTTCTTAGTTCTAATTTACAAAGTAATCTTTTGGAGCTAGGTTTTAGTAAGTATAATTAAAAACATGCACTAGTAAAAAGATTTTCGCGGGTTTTCCCAAAAAATATTTTATCAGAACTTTAATAATCATTAAAAAATATTATGCAAGATTTAGCTTAGTTGTCTACATAATTACTAGTGTCAGCTTTTAAAAATAGCACAGATTTATATACTAAAGAAAGGAATAATAGTAAAAATTAACAAAAAGATTTTGATTTTAAATTTATGATTAATAAATGTTACTTTATACAGAGATGAACCTATATATCCAATTCAACATGTCTAACTTTATTTGTCTTCTGTTTAGTATTTTATGTTATTTCTCTTATTCAAATAAATAAATGCAGTCATTCTTTTTCAATTAAAAATTTGCAACACAAGTTTTATAGATTTGTTGTAGCAATGACGCAATGACAATTTTACTAATGAAAAGCACCAAAAGTGGGGAATCAAATATAGATCTTGTATTGTTAATAATATTTTTATAACAATTTGCAAAAAGAAGTTACATATTCATTGAGTAAAAATCAAGTAAAAAAATTACAAAAAAAGCAAAGACAAAATAAATATTCCTAGTAAAAAGGTATTTCTTCTTTTAATTTCAATTATAAAAAATACAAAACTACAAACCTTTAGTTTTAGGCAATCTTAGCAATATGTAAGGTTATTTTTAGTAGCATGTTGGTATGTGTTGATATAGCTATCTGAAAGCCTATTTCAGTATTCTGTGTTATTAGAATAACTGAAACAGGGGATCAGTTAACAAAAAATCCAGCACAAAATAGTGTAAGTACTCAAATAAAATCTAACTATTATTTAACCATTTTAATAAAATTAGAATAAACCAATTATAGTGCAAACAAGACTCATAACCATAGCGAAAATTAAACTGGCCTCTTAATTTTTTACGGAAAATGCAACAAATCAGGCCGTGTAATTTAAGTCGGCCATGATATATACGAGGTGTGTTCAAAAATTAAGGTGACTTTTTAAATTTTGCGGGCAACGTACTTTCGATTATCGATATTTTTGTTTTGTCATGGTACACTCTTCCTGAACATCTGTACCAAGTTTCAAGTGTATAGCATTTTTTGTTTGGTTGTGAGAGGCGTAAAGGTTATAAGTGTTTTGCATGCTCGGCGATTTTTTGCTATCAAAAAATATGGATCAAAGGATTTGCATCAAATTTTGTGTAAAAAATAAAATAAAGTGCTCCAAAAAACTAAAATGTTGACAGTGGCATACGGTGAAACTGTTCTGAATAAAAAAAATGTTTACAAGTGGCACAAACTCTTTTAAGATGGCCGGTAAGATGCCAATGACGAGCCTCACTCTGGACGCCCAACCACGTCAACAACTGATGAAAATGTTCAAGCAGCGAAGAAAATTGTTTTGGAAAATCGTTGAATCACGGATGATGTTGGTATATTGCTTGGCTTGTACCATGAAATTTTTTCTAACGTTTTGGGCATGAGACATGTGTCAGCAAAGTTTGTTCCGAAATTGCTCAATTTTGACCAAATAAACCGTTGCATGAGCATCGCTCAAGAACTGTTGAATGACGTCAACGACAAACCAGATTTACTCAAAAGGGTCATAACTGGTGGCGAATCATGGTTATATGGTTATGATATCGAAACCAAAGCCCAATTGTCCCAATAAAAGAGCCCAGGTGAGCCAAGACCAAAAAAAGCACGCCAAGTTCGATCAAAGTTTTGCTCACTGTTTTTTTCAATTACCATGGAGTGGTGCATCAGGAGTTCCTACCATATGGTTGTACGGTCAATAAACAGTACTATCTTAAAGTTATGCGCCGTTTGCGAGAAGCAATGGCGCATAACTTCAATAAATCATGCCTCAGCCACCATATTCACCAGATTTGGCCCCATGTGACTTTTTCTTGTTCCCAAATCTAAAAAGATCTATGAAAGGACGGAGATTGGCAATGATTAAAGAGATAAAGACTGCATCGCTGGAAGAGCTCAAGGCTTTACCGAAAAGTGCTTATGAGAAGTGCCTTGAGGATTGGAAAAACCGTTGGTATAAGTGTATTGTATCTGAGGGGGATTACTTTGAAGGGGAAAAAATAAATATTGATAAATAAATAAATATTTTTTCTTAAAAATACAAAATCACCTTAATTTTTGAACACACCTCGTATATATATATATATATATATATATATATATATATGTATATATATATATATATATATATATATATATATATATATATATACATATATATATATATATATATATATATATATATATATATATATATATATATATATATATATATATATATATATATATATATATATATATATATATATATATATATACACACACATGCATACAGTCATGTGATATTGAAATGGAAACATAATTAAAAAGCAACTTTTTTTTTATTCCTCTTTTTTTTTCTCCATAAATGCTAAATTTGATGACCTTTGTTATCATACAATGTTTACAATGTTTAGAACTGGACATCAATGCTTAATTTATAAGTTCTTGAAGGATATTCCTCCATATATCTTTTACATTATTGAATAAACCCTGTAACCAATACCATGATGGATTTTGGAAAATTTTTCTTCTTATGATAATATACTCTTGGTGCTTTTTGATATTTGATTATGTAAATATGTTTGGATTTTTGATCACAATCAGTAAAGTAGAATAGTTTTTGATCAGATGTAATGATTTTTTTTCCAGTTAATCTTAATAAATCCATAAATTTTTTCTGATTTTGTAAACCTTCTCTCAATTGCTCAAGGTGATAATGCACGTAAACATCCTTTTAAAACTTTTTTTTTAATTGAACATTTTATCAATGTAACATTTAATTGACTTTCTTGATATCTTAAACTTTTCTAGATAACTCATAAATAATTGGTGGTTTGTCTTTTTATTAATAAGTCATCTGAAAAAGTTAACATAAATTTAGCTTCAATGGTCAATGCCAATGTTCAATTATTTTGCCATTTAAATCATCTTTTCTTTTAATTATCACCATGTTATTTTTAACTCTACTAATGGTGGTTATTAAAACTTTGATTGATTCCTTTGATTGGTTTCTTAATTATTCTATACAACTTGGATATTTGTATAGAATAATTAAGAAATTTTTAGAAATTTCTTAATTATTCTATACAAATATCCAAGTTGTACCCACAATAATATAATAATAATTTTTTTTTGCTAACTATTTTAAATATGTGATTAAATTATAAATAATATTGTTAAATATTGTTTAAACAAAAAGTAATCAAGTTTCAAAAGTGTTTCCATTTCAATGCCACAAGACTGTATATGAATTAATTAATAAAATGTCTATTATAAAATATTTATATCATTTTTGTGTTCATATTTGTTCATATTTAGATAAAAAAGCACTCAAAGGTGTAAGAGTTAAAAAGTTAGTTATGAGTATTATAGTTAGTCATTAGGTTCATTATTTATATTTAGAATAAAAAGAACATAAAAATATTTTTTTCAAAATTATAAGACTTTTTATACTTTTTAAATATATTTTGTTATAGTCTATCAAGGCAGATATTCTGCACACATACAAAAAAAAAAAGGATCCAAGATAGATATTGTATTTTTTTTGTTTATGCTTAAGTTAAAAATTGTTTTTAACAATTTTTAAATTAAGCATAAACAAAAAAAATATCTTTTTTTTTTAAATGATAAAAGGTTTTTCATTGATTATATATTTATTTTATTAGTGATGACAATAGACCAGATAAGTAAAAATTATTTTATTTATAAATTTTTAATTTTCTGTTATGTTATAGTTATGTTTTATAATTTTATTTTAGCTTGCTTAAGGTTAAACCTAAGTAAGTATCTTAATTATCAAATTTTAAATTTGATTTATGAAATGGTTTTATATTAAATAAAAATAATAATTTGATAAGTCTTCATTATAGAAAAGAAAATTTGGGTTTTATTGTTAAATTGTTGAGTTATTTTGTTAGTAAATTTAGTAATTAATTATTGGAATTTGATTTTAAAGAAGTTGTAAAGATTTTTATTTATTTAACAAAAATGGCGCCAACATTGGCATTAACAGGAAATTTGGTTATCACCATTACCTTGAAAAATAAACTGAGATTGGTTATATTCCACTTCAAAACCTCTATTTGTATCATACTTCAATTTAAGTTTCTATTTCTTGTAGGTATTTATTTATTGTTCAAAAGAGTTTTTTTTATTTATATTTTTTATTTTTTATTTATATTTATTATTTAACCAATATATATTACTTTAAGATAAGTTTTTAAGTATATCTATTTTGTAAATGTATATAGGAATATGTAATATAATTATATTATTATTTACTTGTATATACTTTATAAAAATTGTTAATAATCTTTTAGAAAGTGTTTATTTCTTTACTATTTTTTTATTTATTTGTGTATTTGCTGTTGAAGTGAAATGTAAATCACGGAAATTTTAATATTTTTTATGTAAATCAAAGAAAATTTGTGTTCAGAAAATATTTTCAAAAACATGCAATTAGTTTTATATATATAAGATTTGCTAGAAATAATTTAAATTTTATTTTTATTTACGGAAACTATCCGGCAGCTGAGTTGCCTTTCCGTTGTTTAACGGGAAAAACTTGTTTAATTTAAACGGAATCCGTTTATTTACGGAAAAGTTCCGGCAGCTGCCGATGACCAAACTACCCGTGGTTTAACGGAAAAAACCCATTGTATTTTAACGGAAAAAATCCGTTTGTAAACGGAAACTTCCGTTTACATACGATGGGTTTTTCCGTAAAATAACGGGTAGTTTGGTCATCGGCAGCTGCCGGAACTTTTCCGTAAAAAACGCGCTATTTTTTTAACAGTGTAGAATTAGACAGAAGTGGGCGTGTTCCGTAAGCCCATAAACATTTAGCAATGCTAACTCATGTTTGATTGTAAGGAAGATTATGTGCAGTTGTAATTATAATGGTAACTCATCAATTTTTGCTTTGAAGGAGTTGACACAGATAGCACTAAAAACTTCAATAGGTAGTACGTTCCATGGGTTTGCTTCATACGGTTGTTAAAGAAGTTAAAGCGAACGAGACAGTTGTGGTCGATTTCACAATAAAGGCGCTGTTTTTTTTAAGAAGTGTTTGACTGTTGAGGCAAAAAAGAAAATCATAGCATTGCATTTTTCAGACAAATAAGCGGCCTTGACTTTACCAGGACCCGGCCAGTTATCAAATATTTGAGTTTTTGCATCTTGGCTGCACTCAATATAGGTAATTTACTGCACTCAATATGTTATTCGAAAGGACTGTGGATCAGTGGGCGCTTAAACAATTTCCCCCAAGCTGAGCTTAATGAATTTCAAAGTGAATCATTAGAGTCAGAAAAAGGAACTTTATCTAACAGTGGAGAATGCAAGGTTCAACTTAACTTGGTAATAGTTAATACTAACCCTTCTTTGTGGGCAGTTGTTTTGAGTCAAAAAGATCAAGATGCAATTATTTTAAAGAGATCTCCAGCTCAAAAGCAGTATTCAAAAGTGGCTAATTGTCCCTTCTTTGTTGAAACTGAGGAGCTAGAGATCAACGGAGGAAACTCATAAATCGTGTAAAGCAGCATCAATGCAGCCATTGCACTAAAGGTTCTACAATGATTGGAAAGAGGCCTACATTCCTCTTACCAGCTCCACTGGTGAATATTTAGAGCTCCATAATTAAATAAATTCTGAGACAGCTAAATAACTGACAACTCTTCGTGAAACTTTGAATGTGACTGTATTTCTGGCTTCTAAGAAATTTACTTTAGGTGTTTTCATTGACTTGACGAAAGCTTTAGATACTATTGACCACGTAATTCTTTTAACAAAAGTTGGAGTGGTACGGAATTACTGGAAATATATTAATTTGGCTAAAAAGTTACTTAAATAATTGAAAACAATTTGTTTATGCAGATGATAACATATCATCTAGTTTGTTAAATATTTCATGTGGAATTCCTTAAGGATCCATATTAGGACCTCTCCTATTTCTAACATATATTAATGATTTACCAAAAGCTTGTAACCTAATGACAGTTATGTTTGCTGATGATTTTAACTTATTTCTTTCTCATTATAACATTTTTACACTTTTTAGCAACATAAATATTGAACTAATAAAAATTTGCAATTATTTGTTGGTTGTTGATAAAAAAGTTATTACATGTTTAAATTTAGTGAATTATTTAACATATTTTACTTTTTAAGTTTAAGAACTCTTCTATTGTAATTTTGTATATTTATTTTAATTTTAATTTATAGTATTATATTACGAACTTTATGTCGTCAGAAGAGGAAAACGGTAATTTATATATTTTTGAAAATTATGGACATTATTGTTCGCATGAGTCAGTTTTTCGGAAGACACAGTAATTTGATTGATGCAAGCCGTAAACACCATAACAAAGGAAAAAAATCATTAAAAAAAAAAGCTCCTAATTTCTTCAATAGAGGTTTCTCTGTGACAAGAAGCTTTTTTAGGTAGCTTATTGTAAAGTTTTCTCAATATCAATTTTAATTATATATATATATATATATATATATATATATATATATATATATATATGATATATATATATATATATATATATATATATATATATATATATCTGTGTGAATGTGTATCGTTACGCGCTTTATCAAATATTTACGTATTTAAACTGTAAATTAAATTTTTAGCTATTTTGTATAAAAGCTCTTAGCCTGAAGAAAAAAGCAATTTAAAAAGTTTTCAGTCTGGTTAAATTTGACAAACTTATTACTGAAAATGCTATTTAACATACGTCACGCAGAATACAAGGTAAACATATTGTTTCAACTTGTGGGTCAGATCTATGCAAATCAATTAAGTGGATTGAATTGTAAAATTTCTAATTTGAATTGAAAATTTGAGAATTCTAAACCAATTAAAAAAATATATAAAAATCCATCAGAAGTGACCGGCTAAGAAAAATAAACTTGTATTTTTGATTCTATACATTTAACTTATGTTACATCACTTAGGTTACCAAGCGATTATTATCGCTTGGTAACCTAAAAATAAATGGTATTGTAAATTGGTAAATAAAAATATAAATAAAAAAAACTCATTTATTAAAAGTAATTAACAAAGACAATTTTAAAAACTGGTGGCACGCTTCTTGAGTAATTTTTCATGAGATTTTTGAAAACTAATTAATCAACGTTTTTTTTGAAAGGTATGAAAACGACAGTTCCGCAAGTGCAAGAGCAACAAATTACTTTAGCATGACAACTTTATTAATACTTATTAGGTCATTCAAATAAGAAAATCTTTTAGTTTATCAAAAAATTTTCTTTCAATTCTTATGTTTATGCATTTTGCCTTATTTTCATTAGGTTGAATTTTGAAAATGCTGCAAAGTATTTAAATTTGAATCTTTTAAAAAATATATTGACGTAAAAACAGCTCTCGCTGTTGAGTAGGGAGAGGGGGTGCAGGTATCGTGATTGTTTTTGACTGCAAGGAAGGGGTTAAAAATTGAAGTGCCAGAACTTTAGTACATGCAGTTTTAACTTACGCTAAACAAATTTAAAATATAATGTGCTTAAACTAATTATCGTTATTCAAAACTTTAAACGTAAAAGCGTAACATTTAATATTCTTTCGCATATGTTATAAAAAAATTTAAGTTTTTTAACTAAAGTTTAGAAAAAACAAAACTTAATCATGTTTTTGTTAATTTACTTTACAGAAAACTGCAAAAGTTCTATCGTTGTTTTCTTGAAAAATATATATTTTTCAAAGTATATAATCTGACTAACAACAAATTGAACATGATAGATCCAATTTCACACTAAATTAATTCGGACTATGCAAATAAATTTACGGTTAAAATAACATTTTGCAATGACTATGAGAAAAACCGTAACATTCGGAACCAAAAATGACTTAAATTAACTAATTTTCAGTTCTAAAGGCATATTTTAAATAAACTTTCGTGTGTTTACACCAAATTTATTTGCTGAAGTTGACAAAAAAGAGAATAAAATTTGATATATATATATATATATATATATATATATATATATATATATATATATATATTTATATATATATAGTATTTTTAATAGACTTTGTTAAATTTAACTATGGACCTTGCTTAAAATTTTATATAAAAAGTTATAAAGTTGTTTAAAGATAGTGTCAATAAAGTCAACATATCGTTTTATAATATATTAAATAACTGAAAAGGTGCATAAGTACTTTTTGATGTGACTTTTTTTTTCAAGGGTTTTATATGTTGTTTGTATTAAAATAGTTAACATATTTGAGTATTTTTTCTGTTTTTTGAATTTCTTAAATCATAAATAAAGTGTATGTGTGAGTGTATGTGTGAGAGAGAGAGAGAAAAAGAGAGAGAGAGGAGCAGAAAGAGAGAAAATCGCAAAAACTAAACGAATTGCATCGAGAATTGCAAAAACTAAAACTAAATAGTTCCTTGATGAAAAAAGTTAAGATTCAAATTTAAATAACAAAATAAAATTATTATATTGTTGAACACAACATTGATTAGAAAATATAATGAATCGAGTGTTATCAGTATATTATGCAATGAGTAACTTAAGCTTTCATTTAAAAGCATCGAGGATCCATTTTGAAATAATTAGAAAAATTTTAATATTGTTTTATAAAAATGCTGCGTTAAATAAAGCAATTTTTCAAAAATTGGTCGAAAAAATTTAATAATGAATTTTAAAAATGTTTTCTATTGTTTTTTCAAGAACAAATTGGTTTGTTCCACAGTGGTACTTTGAAACATGAAATTTAATTGTCAGAAAATTTATAGTAAAAGGACTGCTTTTTTTATAATTTACTATACAGTATTTCATTTTATATTCGCTGTAAATTTCTTTAAGAAATGCATTAAAAAGTTTCATTCTGTCATTTTAATAAAAATAAGTGATAAATAATTTACTTAGTACGTCATAAAAAGTTTCCTATCGTTAATCCTTCGATTCTGTACAATGTTTTGTGCCAAACAGATTGGCGGTTCTATAGTTTTTATTTTATTTTTTATTACAATATGTTAAATATGTAATACTAAAAATATAAAATATGTTAAATATGTTAAATATGTTAGCACATTAAACATGAAGCACAATTTATGAACTTTGACTTACTTTCTTTGATAAGCCTTACTTAATAGAAATGAAAGGTTTTTGAAAAGTATGAGTACAGTCAGTTGTCACTCTTTTAAACGAAAACTTTAAAAAAATAAAATATTTTTTTAATAGAAGATATACCTTTACAATTTTTTTTAGTTTTTTTTTTGTTTATGTTTTCTTTGTAACATTCTCACTTATAAATAAAGTAAAATAACCAATTTTTCCAAAAGTGAAAATTGAAGAATTCACACCTAGCGATTTAACAAGCTTACGGATATGCTTTGTAATGCCGTTTTTTTTGTTTTTACTTCACCGATAAAAAAGCCATCAAAGAATAAAAAAAAAAAAAGAAAAAAAAAAAACTTTTCATGGTAGAATTCAAAATATGCAATTTATCTGTTTTAAAATTAAACAAAAAAGAATTTAAATTTAAATTAAACAAAAAAGAAGTTAGGCATTAACAAACAAATAAAATCAATAAACAGCTAAACTTTATAAAAAACGTTCTGTAAATTATCACTTTAAAAATTATATAAATAGTCCTTTTACTAAAGCTCGTCATTATTTTCAAAATTTGTACAATATCTAGTTTAACAACCGTAAAATAATATTTATATAATTATAATATATTCTAATGTATTTAATACATTATATAATGTAAAAATTTAAAGATTTTTTATTTTATTTTTTTTGTGTACTCAAATAAGCAAAAATTAAATGAAGTTATTATTTTTTTTAGAAAATGTTTAACAGTGAAGAATTTAAAAAGTTTTCAAAAGAAATGATCGATTACGTAGCAGACTATTATGACAATATTGAACAAAGAAGCGTTCTTCCAAAAGTTCAACCAGGTTACCTTCGTAGTCTTTTGCCGCCAAAAGCTCCAGTTGAACCAGAACATTGGAAAAACATAATGCAAGACATAGAAAAAGTTATTATACCCGGTGTTACAAATTGGAGGCATCCTCATTTCCATGCTTATTTTGGCGTTGGTATAGGTTATCCATCAATAGTAGCTGAAATTTTAGCGAATGCGCTTTCAGGACCAGGATTTTCATGGATATCTATGCCAGTCAGCACAGAGTTGGAAACGGTAATGATGGATTGGATTGCTGATCTTGTAGGACTTCCAGAGCATTTCAAGTTCTCATCAAATGGAACTGGAGGGGGTATTATAGATGGATTTGCGAGTGATGTAACGCACTATACGTTGTTACTTGCTCGTGAGAGAGTAATTAGAAACTATTTAAACGACGATAAAACTTTTTCGAAACTTATTATGTATACTTCTAGTCAAGCTCATTCTTCGGTAACTAAAGCTGGATTGTTAGCGGGAATAAAAGTTCATTACGTAGACACTGACGAAATGTTTACGCTCAGAGGTGTTAATTTGGAAAAAGCCATTAAAGAAGACAGAGACAAAGGATTTATTCCATTTTATCTTTGCGCAACTTTAGGAACTACGACGTCATGCGCATTCGATAATATTCAGGAGTTAGGTGTGATATGCAATAAAGAAAAAATATGGTTGCATGTTGACGCAGCTTACGCGGGAAGTTCATTTGCGTGCGAAGAGAATCGTCACTTTATGGCTGGCATTGAGTTAGCAGACTCGTTTAACTTCAATTTACATAAGTGGATGCTTGTAACAGTTGATTGTTCTGCATTGTATGTTAAAGATAAAACTGAAATTAATAATTCTTTCAGTGTTGATCCTGTTTATTTAAAATGTCCTATTGGAGGAGAACTACCCTTATATCGAAATTGGCAGATTGCATTAGAACGCCGTTTTCGCTCATTGAAAGTTTGGTTTACACTACGTTTATATGGCCAGAAGGGCATTCAAAATCATATTAGAAAGCACATTCAACTAGCACGGGAGTTTGAAGCACTGATAAAATCTGATGATATGTTTGAAATTTGCTATCCTGTTACTATGGGTTTAGTATGCTTTCGCTTAAAAGGAAGCAACGAGTTAAACCAAAAGTTAAACGAGCTAATAAATGCCGAAGCTCAAATACATATTACCCCATCAAAACTTGGAGAAAAGTTCATTTTGCGGCTTTCGATCTTATACGAGCATGCAACAACAGAGCACATAGAATTTGCATTTAACAACATTAAAAAACATGCTCAGTCGTTATTAAAATCATAATTGCATAGCAAATTTTCACGAAGCAATCTACAACATTTTGTATTTAAAAATAACTAATAAATAATAACAAAAAATGATAAATAATAACTGAATTTAATTATTTTAAACTACAAAAAGTAAAACTACTAACAAAAAAATGTAAACTAAAAAAATGCCTAAAATTTTTAAGCATTGTGCAAACTCAATCAAAAAGCCACAGAAAAAACGTATATTTTCGTTGAGAAAAGGTTTTTGTGGGAAAAAGTATTTTTATTGAAAACGCAAGATTGAGTTTGTTGTTACCAGACTTTGGTTACCTTTATTTTTTTTTCATCCTCATTTAAAAACAGTACAAAAACTTTAAATTTGTATCACGCCTAACATTTTAAACAAATAACAATCAACCGCTTTTTATAAATGTTTTTAAATGTTATTAAAATTTTGAGAAATGTTTGCAAATGTTAAAGTTTTAAAAATTGTTGTGTTTTTATTATAATGTTCTGCATTTAATTAGTTTTTTATTTTTTTAAACTTTTTTTTCTTTAGAGCTTTTTTAAACTTTTTTAAAAAGTTAAAAAAATTTTAAGGTCTTTTACATATATACTTCTAATACTACTTCGAATCTACTTCGAATACAGAGATTAAAAAATATTTTTAAATTTTTATTCGACATAAGTTTTTATTATTAAATGTTTTTAAAACTAATCTTTTTAAAAAACACTTAATAAAAAAAACTTATCATTAAATATTTAAGGGGCGAATCCAGCATTTTTTTAGTTTTTTTAAATTTGTAAGCCCTTCAAATTGAAGGGATTTCAAACTTTGTATGGTCTTAATTTTTGAACGCTGATATATTTTACTATGAAACTTAAAATTTATTGATGAGTATAAGTCTAGTTGAGAATAGTAAAAAAAATATTTTATCAACTTGTTGGTCTCTGTTGGGTTTTTTTTATTCCCAGGCTCCAATCACTGCAATTTTTTCGCAAGGTATCTTCATTTGACATAAGTATGAACATATATATGCTAGTTGTTTCATCTCAAACACAGAAAAAAGCTGGATCCGTCCGTGTTATATTTTAAAGTTCGAAGCTATCGCCGTACAAAGTTTTCAACCTTCCCAATATTGTAAATAAAGTAAATTATGTTGTATTGAGGGGTTTGTAAATTTTACATGGTCATGGTTTAAAAAACTAATAAATAAAATTCAAAACCTGTAGATGAAATTAAATTTAGTATATATATATATATATATAAATATATATATATATATATATATATATATATATATATATATATATATATATATATATATATATATATATGTATATATATATATATATATATATATATATATATATATATATATATATATATATATATATATAAATTTATATATAATATATATATATATATATATATATATATATATATATATATATACTAATTTATATATATATATACTAATTTATATATATATATATATATATATATATATATATATATATATATATATATATATATATATATATATATACTAATTTATATATATATATATATACTAATTTATATATATATATATATATATATATATATATATATATATATATATATATATATATATATATATATATATACAACATTAAAACAATAATATAAAAAAACATTATTTATACAAAAAATCCTAAAAATTTAATGAAAGTTACTAAAACTTATGTTTTAACAAAATAATTAAAATTTAAACATATTTAATGAAGGAAATCGAAACTCTTAAATGTTTTAATGGGGAGGAGCTATTAAGGCGAGTTTCCACTCATCGGGAGCCGGATAGGAAAGGAAAAAATAATCACATGAGCATGCGTAATAAAAGTTTTTTATTTGTCCGAAAGAAAACTGCGCATGCTCACGAGATTATTTTTCCGTTCTTCCGTTGAAAAACGGATGAGTGGAAACTCATCTTTAGTAAAAGTTTTTTAACAAAATTTATATATCGTCAAAAGCATAAATTGTTAACAAAAAAGAACAGAGCATAACAACATTCAAACACACTTTTTAAACAATATTTTTTTCAACACATTTTAGGAATAAGAAGTTTTTTAACAAAATTTATCATAAAAAGCATAAACTGTTACCAAAAAAGAACAAAGTATACATCTTTGAAACAAATTTACTCAAAAAGTAGCAGTATAAAAAATATTTAATGAAGTAATGTTCAATAAAATTTACTTAAAATTAAAAATATTAAAAAACTGTATATTTTTTAAAATTTTTTTATAAATACATTCTTTCAACAATAATTTTTCAACACTTTTTATGACTACACTAACTACAAATAATTTTATTTTATGTGTTAAAACACTCACATTTAAAAGATATTTACACACTTACAAAATAAAAACCCATATAACCTTAACACATATAAACACCTAATAAATAACACACAAATATAAATAAATATATGAATGAAGAAAAATATATAAATTAGAAACTTTACAAATACCTCCTTATTTTTGTAATATTTGTATAATGACATATCTCGTAATAAACGTTTAACAACTTGCAAAAACAAACGATCAAACGATCTGGTTTTTTATATAAAAGCAAACGGATTTTTTTTTAACTTCTTAAAAATAATGTATTAAACGATCTTGTTCTTTAACATGTAACATAGAGTTGACCGTGTGAGATGCAAAGGTTTTGGAGATAAACACAAGCTTTATCAAAAGTTTGACCTTTGAAAAGAGCAACGTTTTCTCGAGTCATCATCGTTTTCTAATTAAAAAATTACAGATTAATATACTTTAAATACAATCGACAAACGACTTGAATTGTGTTATTATCATAATGTATGAATTTAATAAATCACCTGACTTTAAAAGTTACTTTACTAATTCCAAAAATAACATTAGGTTAATCCTTTACTACTAAAATTATAATGAAATAAAAATTGTCGATCTTATTACTAATTAGGCTGATGAAGCAAAGTTTTCGATCTTATTACTGATTAAGCAGATATATTACTGATTAAGCAGATTATGAGTACCTCATCTCGTAAGTTCAACAGTATAAAGAGAAAGAGTATGCCAAATCCTATTTAATATGATGGTAAAAAAGTCCGTGTAAACGCGCACGAATGGGCAGCAGCAGCGACAGCGTTAAATTAAGTATTAACTATAAGAATACATATATTCTCCCATGAACAAAAAATATAACTTATATTTTAACATATTAACATTCACTTTTTGACCAATTAAGTCATAGACTGTGGTTACTTAACTGCATATTTTAGTTTAGACTGAACCAAACGTAAAAATATTCCAGTCTACACGACACTTAGTTTTGATCATGGCCGACAACACGGGTTTCGAAATAGTGGTGGGGGAGGGGGGCCACAATCGTAAACTTCTTTAAAAAGTCCTCTATATCTAGAATTTTCTTTAACAAAAAAAAGTGTGGGAGCACGTGCCCCCCCCCCCCCCACAGTGTTGTCGGCCCTGTTGATAGTCGCGCGAACAATTCGCGTTGGGAGATTTTTGGCCAAAAATTAACGCCATGATTATCTTACAAACAGTGGCGAACTGGCCATTGTTTGTAAGATAATCACGGCGTTGAAATCTTTGAAATATATGAAGCGTGGGCCCCTTTAAATAAGTAATATATATATATATATATATATATATATATATATATATATATATATATATATATATATATATATAATTATTATTATTACAAATAGTTATAAAGTTAAACTATTTGTAAATTCTTGTATTCAACTCTATTAAGTGCGAAATTCTCTAATTTTACTGTAAAACTATTTTCTCCTTTGACAATCAATAATGTTTGTAAAACTTTTTCAATCATTATTGATTTCAAAGGAAAGTTTTACATGTAATTGTCGTAAGGGATTTGCTAAAGTTGTGCAATTGTTAATGATTATTTGATACAAGAATATGCAATGATTTTCCAAAGGGAATTGACTTTGTAACTTATATTGCAACTGCGGTGCTTGAATTAATTAATTAAAAAATGAATTAAATATTCACCAAAATTAAAAAAATAACAACTCAACACAAAAACACACTTGATCAACGAGTTTACTGAAGTGATGCTAGACTTCTTTTGAGGTTGGTATTTTAGTTTTCATGAAATTTATTATCTTTGTTTAATCTAAAACTTATCAAAAATATTTAGTCAATTTCCGCTCGAAATAATTATTTAAAAGTTACCGATCATACTGATTGGCTGAAATGATTTGAAAGATTGAAATTGATTTGAAAGGTAGAGGGATAAAGAGTTTTTCCGGACAGTCAAGTTTTCTGTAACTCTTTATAAGCATAACTGTTTATGTAACACATAATTAACACTTTTTGTGTTAATCATCTTAAAGCACCTCAGCGTAGTTTAACTACGCTGATTTCCGATTTAAGTTTTACTAATTTGCTCTAATAGGGCAAATTAGTATAACTTAATTCGGAAATTTTATCAAAATCCTAAACTTTGACAATCTCTAACTATTGATGAGATAAAATACATGAAAAGGTATTTTTTGATACAACTACATCTGCTCGTGTTGAAAAAACAAAATATGTATATATCTTTTTTGCTTATAAAGAATTTTAGATTTTTATTAAGTCTATATTTGAAATTATTTAGGATTTGGCTCCGTCGCTTCAAATTGTTAAAAAGTTATAAGATTTTAAAATTCATTAATTTAAACATGATTATAGGTCAAAAGAGTAAGAACTGTTATAGAGTGTCTAATCCAAATTATTTCTCAAAAACACGTTTTTTTTCATTAATAATCATAATGTTCTCCACCTATTAAGTTAAAGTACTAAAAAAAAAAAAGAGAATAAATTGGTAGTTGCTTCTCTTTTCCTTCTATTTCCTTTAAGGAATACAATTTTTTTTGGACAAAATTTATTTTGGGAATCTAAATATTATTTTTTTTAAAAGGAGACGATCTTTATTTTTGCTTTATTTTTTAAATGTTAAACTCTTAACTCAGGTCATCATGTCAAAATCTCAGATCATCCTGTCAAAATCTGGAGCATAATAGCGCAAAAAAAAAAAACTACAGACAAAAATAGAATTTTCTGCAAAAAAGTGCAAATTAATCACATCATTTTTTTCTGTACAACCACAATGACAAGGCAATATTGAGTCGAATTTACAAATTATATTAGAGATAATAAAGCACAAGATGATAAAGATCTTGAGTCAAATTTACAGAGTACATCAGCAATAATGCAAGCACTAGGTAGTCGAGATCTTGAGTCAAATTTACAGAATACATCAGCAATAATACAAGTACAAGGTAATGGAGATATTGAGTCAAATTTACAGAGTACATCGGTAAATATACAAACAAGAGGTAGTGGAGATATTGAGTCGAATTTGCAGAGTACATCAGCAATAATACTAGTGGAGATATTGAGTCAAATTTACAGAGTACATCGGTAATTATACGAGCAAGAGGTGGTAGAGATATTGATCAAATTTGCAGAGTACATCAGTTTACACAGCATTATCAAATTTTTACCAGATGCCGATATTGATAAAATAAAGGCCGAACTGTTGTCATTTGTCACTAACTATGAGATTTTGAAATTGTCCTGGCCCTTAACGACAACGTTGAGAGAGAATGCAGATCAAAAGAATGGCGTAGAAGAACCGCGCAGCATACTAATGGAGCATGTGGATCTTCTTGTGTGTTACGAATTCTTGCTGCATATAGACTCAACGACAAAACCAATGACAATTTGTATCATATTTATAAAATAGTATGTACTATTTCTGTAACGAAAGCTGAATGTGAAAGATCGTTTTCTAAGTTAAAGTTAATCAAGACAAGATTGCGAAGTTTTATGTTAAATGACCACTTAGAGTCGCAAATGTTGATGTCTGTAGAAAAAAGTCTACTTAATAGCCTTGTCTATGAACGATCATTCAAAGATATGCTTCGTCCTCTGAATTGTTATTGCTATACTTCATATCACTTCTACTTTTTTAATTCAATGAAATTTTATTATTCTGTGATTTAATTGTTCCTCTTAAGACTTATTTTTACAAAGTTGTAGACCGGACAGTCTTTGCGATATATGTAAGGTCGGGAGGGCCCTTTATTTATTTTCATTGCCGGTAACATATATATATAGCCACTGCATACAAATTAAATGATATACATTTCATTTACATAAGCAAATTGCTGTTGATTAGTTACTAAGTAATTTGTTTCAAATCATTACATTATACGTTCCAAATCATTACATTACACGTTATACACGTGTAATGTAATGATTTGTTCCAAATCATTACATTACACGTTAAGGAATTTTTTAATCAAAGGTTTAAGCTAATAAAAAATCCGATATAATTAAGAATTGTTAAATAATTTGGAAAAACTCATACCATAGTCATAAGAATAAAATATGACTACCCTTATACATTAAAAAATTACGCTTTTAGTAGATTTGATTATTTGGAATTTTTTACAAAACATTTAAGAATACAGTAAAAATTGATATTGGACAATACAACAATGGCTACCACGATTATCCACGATAACCCTGACCCTGACGGGGATTAGCATTTAAGCAAAACTTACTCCAACTTTTGACCTACGAACGTAGTGTGAATATTTTTTAAGTTATAAAACTTGAAAACAGTTTATTCCGAAAAATATTTTGCAAAAAATAAGGGGAAAACTTCTGAAATTTTTTTTTTTATTATTAATTTAGTTTTTTTTGGGCGACTTTTCCTTAAAATCCTAAATTCGGGATGTATCAGGAAAAAGTATATATGTATGTATAATAAAAGACAAAAATTCAGTAAATAATTTTATCATTCAATAATCAAAGATTTTTCAAAATATAATACTTTTCTATTTTACAAAGGCTTAAACATTTCAAACTCACCGATATTAACATGAATAAAAATATATATGGAGATTATAATCGTTTTTAAAAAAATATCGATAACAGCAACAAAGTATTTATTGATGTAACACGTCAAAAAAAAACTTTTTTTATAATTTTTGTTGACGTTAAAAGTAAAAAAAAAAAAAATTAAAAAAAAAATATATATTTCTCTAATAAATAATAAAAGAACCTAAAATTTCGCATTTAATTTTTTTTAAAAATTAGAAATAAATGAAAAACTTCTTTTGAGAGCTATATTATATATTTTATTTATAGAGGTATATTTATATAAGTTTTTGAGTAATATATTAATAATCAAGTCAATAAAAATGACTGAGGCAATCTGTCAAAACTAAACGTTTAAAAATTTGATTTAAAAAATTTTTCTTTATTAAAAAAAAATCCTTTTCAAATAAATTCTTTATTTCTATATTATATATTTTTATTTAAGAAAAAAACGAACCACACGAAATAACTTAAGCAAATATAGAGAACCATGAAACAACTTTGCTAACAAAACTTAGAGCACTTCATTTCGCAGACACATAACAAATATTATAAAACGGAGGATTAAAATCCAAAACTAAAGATATATAGAATTATAGCACACTGGATTTAAAAATATTTGCAGGTATTTCATTATCAATAAGAGAATCAGCTTCAAACAGCTTTTCCATATCATTTTCTAAAGAATGACTGCTACTATTAACGACATCAGAGCTTGAGCTACAGCTACCATTATTAAATGATTTATTCTGCTCAACGTGGACATTGAGATACGGTGTTAATTGTTCTTTTTCGGGCTCTTTGACGCCACTTATTTTTCTATTTGATGAAACTGAATTTCTTTTGAACTCACCGCTTGTTGAAGAGATAAGAATATCAGATTCGGATGTAAATTTGCTACGAGACTCGCGCTTTCTTGCACGTTCATTTATCGATGTCTTCAATTTTTGACAAATTTTTCCAAACTTGCGATGAGAGCCTTAAATTAAAGAAACGTAAGATACTTATAGTTTTGAAAACAATAATACATAACATAGAGAAAAAAATCACACTACTTGATACAAAAGAAAAAAAACAAAGAAACAAAAAAAACAATACCTGATAAAAAAGAAAAAGTTACCATAACTTCCGACTGATTATCACTAACATCGCGCTCAATTTCTTTTTTAGATATTTTTATATCAAGTGCAGTAATTGAATGATGAGAGGCTACTCGAAGCCACGATTTACCTAGAAAAAATACTGTAGAATGAAGTGAATTTGATCAAATTTAAACTAAACTTTTTTACTAATTAAAACAACGAATGATTTAAATTTAAATTATGAATGATTATGATGATAAAATTTTGAATGATTGATATGTTATATTAGTTGTGCATAACACCAAAGAAATTAATCAAAAATCAAGAAAAAAAACCAATATTGTTAACCACTTTTTTTATTTAAATTTTAAGGTGAGTTTTATCCAAATTTCAAAGTCATGTTTGAGGTCAAAAACATAAAAACCTATGCATCGCTCGACAAGTAATCAGTACTAGTAGTCAACAGAATTTCTATATTTATTTGCTGTCTGAGAGGTTGTTAATATTTAACTTCACTGAGCTTTCACAGGTCAAATATATAAAATGGTTGCGACAAATGTAGTATTTGGAAGAAGTGCAATACACTTGATGTTTGTTATTTTCACACAAAACGTTGTAGCATACTTCTTTTGGTCCATTTCTGTTCAATTTGTTTACATTGAATCTGCTTTGTAGACAATATATATAGAAAAACGATACAGCCTGCTGCATTACCACAATACAACATTGTAGCAGACTTTATTGAATTAATTATCAAAGTAACCGAGAAGAAACGTCATTGAAATGCTTTGTTATTACTTGTTTATTATCAGGGTCAACAGTTATTCATCTATGCCAGTTTAGAAGTAATACTATCAAAAAAATTATAATAACAGTACCTATTTCTGCCTTTTTCCTCATAATATTACTTGTAAATCTAGCACTTAATTGTTTATTTCTCTTTAGAAATGATTTTACCCATTCATTACCAGGCCTCTTGTAAATTGTCTAATCATCATTTGTTTATGGTCTGCCATGACATGACAATATTATGTAAACCATAGCAGTCAACTAGAAATTCAAAATAAAAGACAGTTATAACAGTTTGCAAAAATTTCTTCTTCAATTTTAATAAATATTGTGCAAACATCTGATTGTTTTGTTATGCAGCCCTTTAGATTTATATACTATTGTTAAAAAAAGAAAGAAGAAAAACAATTCTTAACAACAGGTTTATATATTAAAAATCATATTCATAGCATTTATATGTTCTTGGCATATTGTTTATTATGCCAAGAACATATAAATGCTATGAATATGATTTTTATTATTATACTATCCTAAAATTGAAAATTAAATCAACAATAATATATTCATTGAAGAGATTTTTAATGAAGACAACCATTATGCCATACTCATCCTAAATCAACTTACTATAAATTATAACACCACAACCCACTCAATTATTAACTGCAGTGCCAAGTAACTAATAGCTTTGCAGCATATAAATTTTAGGATTTTTATATCCTTTAAAAAAAAATATTTTTAAGTTATTGTGTTTTAGTTATACAGTTGACAGCAATTTTAGTAATGAATAAACAAAATAGCTTTACTTTTATAATAAATTTAAATATGGAAGCAAACACAAAGTTTTTAAAATTGAAAACTATTTTTTATAATTTGGTAAAAATCACCTCATTTTACAGTAATTAAAATTTTTGCAATAGACTGAAATAGTAATGCATAACAAAATATTAAATACTAAAAAAAAAACCTTTCTTTCTTTTATACTCTAGTTTAAATTGAGTATTTGATAATGGCGTATGCATTGCTTTCGGCATCTAGATAAATAAAATACATCTCATACAAACATTACCTGAAGTGAATTCATAAAAAATTTTATTTTATATAAATGAAAAATGAGTTTAAAAAAACATACAAGTAGAATCGAATGAATAAGATCAGCTTTAACTTGAGCAAATGATCGATCAACAAATTTAATTTTGTGAATCTAAAAAAGTAAAAAGAATTTTTAAAATTTTCCCCAAAACATATTTTTTCCTTAAATACCAAAAATGTAAACAATTCTTTAAAGTTTCCCTCTAACAAAAATCGGATTTTGCTATTTTGCTTAATTACAATATAGTTTTAAACTAAAACTAAAAAAATATTATATATATACAGCTATGCACTAAAGTTTAATCGAGATTAGACTTGTTTTTCATAACTATGTACCAGTTTTTCTAACATTAAAGTTTAACGGATACAGATTTAAGTTTTTTTTATGTTTGCTATTTATTAGGGATGTACCGAAGCTAAATTTTTTCCGAAGCCGAAGCTTTGGCCGAAGCCGAAGCTTTGGCCGAAGCCACTTCGCCGAAGCCGAAGCTTTGGCACTATATATGCTTAAAATTTAATCAGCATTTAGATCAGCAGGGGTGTAAAACAAAAAAGGTACCAAAAAATGAGGACGCCAGTCAGGGTTGCTGTCCCAGGCAGGGCAAAAGCTCTCAGCGCCCCTGTTTGAAAGTTTCTCATTATGTCGTTTCTAAATTGACCGCACCGAGCGTTTTTTTTTTAAATTTAAGCTTTTTTGAAACATCCTCCCAAAATTTTCCTACTACTAGTTCTACTTTTTTTGTGTGCAAACCATATTAATGTTATATAGCATCTTTTCATGTGCTGTATATTTTATTTTTATTTTAAATGCACCTTTTGTTAATAGAAGTGAATAGAAATCTTTGAACATTACTCGATTAAATTTATTTTTTGCACTTGATCACTCTTTCTCTAAATAAACTCTCTTAGCTGATCTAGTTGTATCTACAACATAAAAAATCTTACAAACACACTTTATCTTTTTATTGCTATTTATTTCAATATCTTTTTTTTACTTCTCTGTATTCATTAAACGAACAATTTCTAAACTAAAAAAAAAACAAATTAAGACCATTTTGTATTCCACAACAACTGTTGTGAACCTGCTGCTAAAAAAAAGTACAAATAATAGATTTCTCTCTGACTTCTTTTTTACACACTTTTAAGTATTTTTTTTTTGTGATTATTTTTAACTTTACACTACATAACATTTTCTTTAGCTTCTTTTAATCTTTTACACTCTGAAATCTTACTATTCATTCTTCTTCTGTCTCTGTAATGGATAAATCTGCATCAGTATCTGAAATCAAATATTAACTATCTGTGATAAAAGCTTCCATAGTAATCTAACAACTCTGTAGATTGAGCTTTAAATAAAATAATAAATAGAATACTTTATAATTTTTTTATTCATAATTATATTATTATTTACTTTATATTTATAAATAAACAGGGGCTGAGCAGGCTGATATTTATTTGATTTAAATTGTTTATTTAACTTAAATAAATTTTGATGATAAATATAAGAGCTCAAAGTAATCAAAGCTTCAACCTTTAATTTATTTCAAATTTTTTTGAATTTTAAAATTTAAAAGTCTTCATAATATCATAAGAAGAAACCAGAATATAGGTTTACATGTTTAATATATAAATTCAATTTAGAAGTATTCATAATGTTAATAAAAGAGCAAGGATAATTATTATCATTGTTTTTCTTTTTCTTTTAATTTATCTAGTTTTTGTTGACTTTTCTTTTTCTTTTTTTATTTTCCTCATTTATATTTCATTTGCTTTTCTTCCTTTTTTGTTGTTGAGAACTTTATGTTTTTATGTGTCACTCCATTGACTAGTTTGTATCTATATAAGTGGCACCTAACTAATTTCTGTAAATTTACGATAAAAATTTGTAAATTTTTATTAATATGGTTAAATAAAATTAAAAAAAAATTAAACATACACACAATTTAAAATAGTAGCAACGTATCTTTAATCTTCTTTAAAGTGAGATTACTAAGGTTTATAGGTCAAATGTTGAAACTAAATTTTGTTCTATTTGCGGTAATCCCACACAATAATTAATATGAATTCGTTACATAATACAAATTAAGGTTTTTTTTCCATTTTATTTAAAAAAAATTTTAATTTGTTTTAAATTATAAGGTTTTTATTCTGCATAGAAATGCTGATTCAGTTCATCTAAAGTCACACTTGGAAGCCTTCAAAGTGTATGAGGACCTTCCCTAATTTTATTATTATTTTCAAAATATTTTTACATATTTATTATTATCCCCTCCATAACAAGACACTTGGGAGTAAATAATACTAAGTATAAGGTATAGATTTCAACTTTAACTCTGTAGTCCTGAATTTATAACTTAATTAGTCTATTTTTATAACTTGTACAACAGTAGCTTATAACTTTAATTACTTAAAATTTTTTGCCGAAGCCAAAGATTCGGCAAAAAATTGACCTGGCTTCGGCCGAACCGAAGCTTTGGCAAAATTGCCTTCGGTACATCCCTGCTATTTATGTTTGTATCAATGTAGTAGACAAAAAAAAAATATTCACACATACTACACTACTTCTGTAAAACTAGTTAAATGTTATATGATGTATTTTACTGATGACATAAAAGTTTAATCTAGTTAACTAATTATACATTTTTTACACTCGATAACTAATTATTATACTTAATTACCTCTATAAATTATAAATTTAAAGGGTACTCATGATTCTTAAATAAAAAAATAATTTTAAAATACAAAAAAATTATCTAAAGAATAACTGCAGAATTTTAAAATTCACTTGCAAATGGGTAGAAAAAAAGTGTCAGAGAGCATCAAATGGGAAATTATTGGACTGGTCAAATCAAAGAATCATAAAAATGTTGAAATTAGTAAACTTATTGGTGTTTCTGAACTTTGCGTACAAAAAACAGTGAAAACCTGGGAGCTAACAGGTAATGTCGTTGACATTTTTTGCTCTGAAAGATGAGTAAGGCTTAGTGATCATGACAAAAGTAGCATATTCAGAACCAGTCAGGGTTAGCAAAAACCTGGCCCAGTGGTTTTTTTTGGGTTTTATTTATTTTTACTTTATCCCTGTAAAAAAATTTTTGTTTTTTTATTTAATAATATTGAAAATTAGTTTCATTTTCTACTTTAACTTTATTTAAAATATATTTTATATATTGTTATTTAATAAGTATAACAAGAATTTTTTTAATTATTCTGAAAAAGATTTTTAAATATAATTTAAAACTGTGAAAGAAAAAAAAAATTTCACGTTAAATCTATATGTATTGATTTATTTTAAATTTAAAAGTATTATTTTATATAATTAAAAATGTCAATGAGAATTGGGAAAAAGAAGGCTAGAGAATGGGAAGTAGTAACTGAAGTTTCAATTAAACTTTGAACTTGAAATTCAAATAAACAAACTTGTTTCTCTGTGCAACGACCTTGTTTATAAAGATTCGTGTTTAGGAGTTAAAGAGTTGAGAGAGGGTTGTAACCACAATAAGGTAGCCTCATCGACTGTTGTGAGCTTCTCTGGCCACTACTACTCATTTAAATTCAACTTGGGAGGTGAATAACATAAAAGAATAAAAAATTTCAATCGATAAAAGTAATTGAAGAAAAATTGTAATAATGTATTTTCAAATAATGATTCAAATATTAGTAAACCTGCTCTGATAGCTGTTATTATTGGTTAAAATAGTTAATAATAATAATTAATAATAATTTAGTTAATAATAACAGTTAATTATTTTAGGTAATAATATTATTGTTATAATGTTAATGTTATGATAGTTCATAAACTTAATATCTTTAAAAAAATCTAATAAAACCCAGATTTTACCGGGTTTTATTGTTTTTTTTAGGCCGGTTTTATTGGACGGGTTTTTTAATGCCAACCCTGGAACCAGTAGAAAAAATCCTAGGCTCAGCAACAAAAAGCTAGATCAAATATTCAACCAATCCTTTTCTAATCGAAATGTAAGCAATGAACTTGTTAAAAGAACATTAGCAAAAAAAGGTATTGGGTCTTGCATTGCAATAAGAAAGCCTATCCTGTCAATCATGGACAGACACAAAAAAATGAAAATGGTGGAAAGGACAATTGCATTTGGTAGTTGAAGATTGGGCAAAGGTGATTTGGAGTGATGAGTTATACTTTCAGGTTGTGAACTGCAAAGGAAAAATATACATTAAAAGATTTGCAACTGAGAAATTTTTTGAGTGCTACAATTAAGACGACAAGGTGGTGGAGGTTCAGTAGGCATATGGGGATGTTTTTCCCACAAAGGCCTTGGTTTTTGTGAGCTATATAATGGCCGTATCAACCAATATACCAACAAAAACACACTTAAAACAAGTTTGATTTCATCAACAAGGCAATTGTATGGCAGAAGCAAGCAATACATCTTCACGATGGAGCTCCAGCACACACAGCACATAGTATAACAAATTGGTTTACTACAAAAAATATCTTTTTGTTGCCTTGGTGCCCTAGATCACCAGATATCAACCCAATAGAAAATATTTGGTTATGACTCAATGGTAAACCATCAAAATCAATCAACTGAGCATTTGAAGCAACTTCTTAATGAGTACTGGTTAAAAGTGCCACATGAGATGTACACGAATTGGTTGAATTAATGCAAAGATGAGTTCCTCTTTGCTATAAAGTCAAAAGAGGATACTTTAAATATTAAATTTGCATTTTTTTTAACTTTTTGTGTTCTAAACCTTAAACTGATTAAACTTTTATGCAACTCATTCTATCATTATATAATTATTTAATTTAATTATTTTTAATTATTTTTTGTAACTATCTTATCTTACTAATATTAATTGTATAGCTAATAGCAAAAACAAGACAAAAAAAAAAAAAAGTAAAAAATTAAAAAAAAAAAAAGTTTTTTGAAAAATATTTATTTATAAAAACAAATAAAATATAAATTAACAAACTATTAAAATATTTATAATACATTTACAATAATAATAATAATAATAATAATAATAATAATAATAATAATAATAATAATAATAATATTAATAGCAATAATAATAATAATAAAAAATAATAATAATAATAGCAACAGCACAGAAATAATAATAATAATAAAAAAAAAAAATAAAAATAAAAAAAATTTAAACATTAGTGTCTTTAAGCACAAAGAAAAAAAAAGAAAAACAAACAAAAGCTAAAATTTAATCAAAATACTTTGATAGAAAAAATGACAACCTCAATGTCACCTGTATCAACATGAAATAAAGAGCCCAAAAACCACGACTTTTTCACATTTCTTAAAAAAACAAAACATTTAAGTTTAATTCAAATTAAGTTTAAACAATTAGTATACTCTTAAAAACTATATAGATATTGTTTGTATATTTGTATAGAGTGTTCCCGTGGGTTACAAGACTTTTTTAATTTTGCCATTATGAGAAAATAAAATAAAAGTAAACAAACTGTTTGCGGTATTAATTTTAATACCATTTGCAATAGACTTTGATTAGGTTTTAATACCAATATCAATATATTAAAACAATATTTGATATCATGGTATAATAATTAACATTTGTATTAGAAACTGTACAAACAACTACTGTAATAGTAACTATGGTAACAATTGTCTTGTAATATCTACTGTAAACAAATCTTGTACTACAAAACAAAAAAAATGCCTTTAAAAAACAGATATGATCATAAATCTTTTATAAAGACACATAAGCCTAATTCCAGATAGCGAATTCAAAAACAATAAAGAAATCTTCCCAAGTGTAACTTACACTAATATATTAAATAATCTATTATTTTCACCAAGTTCTTATACAACTGAGGATATGAAGGCCTATAATTTTTTAGGCCAACTTGCCTATGCTATGACATGATATGCTATGATATGACAATTTGCAAACTTCCTATGATAAAAAAACTCATGCATTTTTGACCCAACCTTCTATCACTTGAAATGCGCTTCCATGCTTTTATAGGCTTTTATTGAATAATGCATGGAAGGGTATAATCAAGCGTTAAAAGGTTGGGTTAGGAATGCATGAGTTATTAGCATAGGAAGTTTGCAAATTGTCAAGAAATAATATATTTGGTAATTCAAAATGTATACAATAATTGTATATATTTTGATGCTATACAACTCATTTTAAGTAATGATATTTACATATATTTAAAATGTCAAAATTATCTCAATTTAATAAAGATAATTTATTAAATATATATAAACATCCAAATAGCATTACTCAAAATGAGTTGGATAGCATAAATATATACAATTATATGTGAACTATAATAGACTGTTATAACATTTATATATATATATATATATATATATATATATATATATATATATATATATATATATATATATATATATATATATATATATATATATATATATATATATATATATATATATATATATATATATATATATATATATATATATATATATATATATAAATATATATATATATATATATATATATATATAATATATATAAATATTACTTTTAAGAAGTACTAAGTTTCTTTTATTAAATTTTTAAATTTTTCATTCTCGTCATCTTAATGATACCCAAATTAATTCATGGATTGTTTTACTAGATTGGATTGTTGCAGAAATAAATATCCACACTGTAATTGCAAAACAGGCCTTGCTCTGAAGCATGGACACATAATGCTGCAGTTCCATTTTGAATTAATAAAACTGTTAAAATGAGAATCTAAGACTCTAAATAAGATTATAAATCTTAATGGTTACATCAAACTCACCAACATTTAACAACAAAGATTATAACCATTAAGATTATAAATCTTAATGGTTACATCAAACTAACCAACATTTAACAACAAAAAGTTTTTAAATTAACTTAATAAACCAAAATAAAAGCTAACCTAGGAACAATCCCAGGATCTGCTCATGAATAATGTACTAATCTTATAATTCTAAAGCACGTTTCAGTTAGTACAACCTTTCTGCATCAAGTTACTGCTAATCCCATGTTGGTAGTCCAAATATTTATATTAAAAAAGCTATAATAAGTTACAATACATCGGTTTTTCACGTAAAGTGAAAAAACGTAAATTTTTTTACACTTAACTTTTACACTTAACTGTACAAAAATGTAGAAGTACTAATCGTTCACCCAAGTTTAACAAATATGTTTGGAAAGGTAAAAAAAAAAAAAATAATAATAATAATAATAATAAACAAATACTTTTTTGATGTAAAAAATTTCTGCACGAATTATTGAAAGCATCATATTTCTAGTGACGTTTTTAAAACAAAACAAAAAAATTAAAGCAACAGCTGCGAAATTACCCGCATGGCTGGATTTCTTTTAACTAAGCAATATTTGAATTCAAATTTCAACTTTTTAAAAATATAGTATCATCATAGTGGAATATACAAGTTATAATTTTTTAACTAAGTTTGTTATTGTGACCATGGACTCTAAGAAAAGACAGAAGTACCAAAAATATAACGAAGAAGCTGTTATGGCCGCTGTTGCTGAGCTCGAGACAATTATTTTTTATGGAGAAAGGCAAGTTTAAAATATAATGTACCTTCTCAGACAATCGGTGATAGAATAAATGGCAGATACGGTGCCGCCAAGCAAAAGATAGGTTAATGTTGTTTAAAATATTTATTTACTTACTGTGCTAGATGTAATTCTGCATAAGCAATAAAATTGCATAAGATTTTTTCAGAAGTCGAGGACAGCCTAGTTACAATTTAGACCATGTAAATCCATCTGGCTATGTTTTTCAATTTAGACCATGTAAATCCATCTGACTAAGTTCAATTCTCAATTGTTTTTTATTTTATTGGTTTATAAAAATTTCTAAGTATTTTTTAGTTTTCTTTTAAGCATTAATGAAAGATATATTTTTAGTGCCATTTTAGAATAATATTCATCAAATAATGTTTGGGGCTCACTTAAAAGTTTTTTGGTGTAGCTTATATAACTTTATAAAGTTTTTTAATACATCACTTGTTTTTACATGTCCTAAAAGTTAAGAAGGCCTTTTAACTTTTAGGACCTGTAAAAACTATTAAGCCCAGTGATCGAGCCTATAAACAGGCTTGATCACTAGGCCAGATAAATAGCTGCGGACCCCACGTTATGTTCCAACAAATAATCCAACTTTAAATCAGACATTTAATCACTAGCAAAATATTTGTCAAAAAACTATATATGAATTAAGTATTGCATCTTGAATAAATCTACTAAATTTAACTTATAAAAAAAAGTGCACGAAATTGTGCAAATCATCAAAAAAAAAAAAAAAAAAAAATTCATAACGAAAACAAAAAAATAAATAAGATATATTTAATGAGCTCATTATAATTTTAATGGCCGTTTGGTTATATTCTAAAATGTTTACAGCAAATGTTCAGCAAACTGCCCGAAATTCGCCAACTTACCTTATAGAAAAACCATTACAAAATATTAAAAACAAAAATACTTGTTATCTTTATTTAGAAAAAAACAGACAATTACCAAAAATTGCAATTGCAAAAAAATTGCAGCATTAATATTCACTTACAATTCTTGTAACTGAATATTAATGCTGCAATTTTTTTGTATGAGCAGTAAAGGAGTTTTTAATTTTTAGAATTCTTTGTGAAGAATTTTAGCATATCAAAGGAATTTAAAAATTTAAAAAAGTATCTTTATCCTTAAAAAATTACTTTCAAAACTTGTGAACTAGAACACATTGAAAGTAATGCTTTATCATTTCAAGATCTAATTTGTTTCATCAGTTTAAAAGATGGCCATATGATTACTTGTACCGATATGCATTATAAAATGCTGAGAAAGAAAAATTTCATTAACTATTGAACAAAAACGTTGAATATACATATATATATAAATATATAAATATATAAATATATATACATATATATATATATATATATATATATATATATATATATATATATATATATATATATATATATATATATATATATATATATATATATATATATATATATATACATATATATATATATATAGTAGTGGCATAAAGTACGGTCTGTACACGTCTTGGCATAGACTGTACCAGCTTTTGGATGGTGTCATCTAAAAGCTGGTACAGTCTATGCCAGGGATTGCTAGCCATGCAGCTTGCAAATGTTGCCACAAATTATCCAGATTGCTGGGTTTGGTTTTCTGTACCTTTCTAAAGAGTTCCTCCCACAAATTTTCAATGGCGTTCAGGTCACAACTTTGTGGAGGCCATTCAATAGCATTGGTACAAGCACGTTTGAAATATTCCATTACTTTCTTAGCTCTGTGGCAAGGAGCATTGTCCTGTTAAAAGAAAAATGGTTTGTTTTTACCAAATAGTTTGTTTGCTGATGGTTTCATTTGTGTTTTTAATATTTCCAAATATTTATCCTGGTTTACCGTGCCCGTACAACGATACAAATGACCTACATCTGATCCTGACATGCAACCCCATACCATAAGAGAGCCTCCTCCATACTTTACTGTGGGAGCTACACACAGAGGACTAAATCGTTCACCAACTCTTCTTCTCACATAAGCTCTTTTAGCTCCACAGAAAACAGTAAAGGAACTTTCATCACTCCATAACACTTTAATCCATTGTGCAACAGTCCAGGTATTTTGCATCTTCGCAAATGCTCTTCTTTTCGCAATGTTATCAGGTCACAATAAAGGTTTCTTTGCAGCAATTCTCCCATTCAAACCAGCTTGCTGCAGGCATTTTCTAACTGTCCTTGCTGCCAGATGAACTTCAAGGTTATTCCCAATGTAGCTTGCAACATCTGAAGCCATGGCGAAACAATTGGACAAACTCGCCCAAACCAAAAGTCGATCCTGCTTTGCGGTAGTTTTATGAGGTCATCCAACATGTTCTAAGTTTGACACTGTACCAGTGTCTTTCTCTTTTCTGGCTGTTCTGGTAACAGTTGACAGTCTAATTTTCATTTGCTCAGCAATATCTCTGTAAGAAATGCCTTGTTTAATCATAACAATGATCTTCAGCTGTTGCTCAGTTGATAGCTTCTAATACATGGCATACACAATGTTCTGCAAAATTATAACACAAAAATAATAAAATGTTTGTTTAATAAAAGAAAACATGATTTCAATCATTATTTAACAACAACAAATGTTTAGAAACACAATAAAAAATTCCAAAAACTTGTTAATTATAGCTAATTAAGATTAATTAATTCTAATTAGCACTGCTAATTATAATTGAATCTAATTAATTTATTCTCAATATTAGCTCCACGTTTCGGTACATTATGTAGTTGAGTGATAATACATTAATTTCAAGTAAATATCTATTAAAACAATGGTAGAAAATTCTTAAACTTACCAAACTGATATCAACAATTTCTGATCAAATCAACACAGAACAGTAATTAACAAAAATTACAGTAATTATAATAACAAAAATAATGATATTTGGTTGCTAATAACGCGCCACATCGGTAATTAGATTATTAGTAGGGTTTCTGAATAAAAATTGCTACAAAAATTAGTTATTACAAATTACTCAATACGATGATGTAGTAAATTCTTTACTTTACCAAAACAGCAAAAGTCGCTTAGCATAATAATTCCTTTATTTTAATAAATTTTTGTTGCACGAACGGAATAAATCCGTAATTTCAATAGACTAATATCAACGAAATCCAATACATTAAAGATTTAATCCGTTTACATAACGGAAAACCCTTTGGTGCAATAGCAACAGATGCAGTTCGTATATATATATATATATATATATATATATATATATATATATATATATATATATATATATATATATATATATATATATATATACACACACACATTTGTGTGTTTATCTTTTTTATAGTTAGATGTGCTTTAGTTACTGTTTTAACTCATTTGTTATCTACTAATTGTATCAGTTTAATGCCACTGACCCTGCTGGTAATAAATCATATAACTTCTGCATTTCTCAATCTCTTACTTAAATAGTTAACTTAGTGACTCATTTTCCTGAGAACCCTAATCATTTACTTTCACTCCTGGATTTATGTCTAGTTCTATGTCTCATCCTAGCTTATTATGTCTCATCCTAGCATCTGTTGAGTTTCTTCTTTTTTCTCCTTCATATTTATGCAATATATATATATATATATATATATATATATATATATATATATATATATATATATATATATATATATATATATATATATATATATATATTTTTTTTTTTTTTATTTAGGAATAAAAATATTTTAAATAAAAAATCATAAATTTAAATAAAAATAAAAGTTCAAATTGTTTTGTTAATCATTCATTAATTACACCAAATATCAAGTCTGATGTTTATGTGAAGATTATATAATGCAAAACATTGATAACTTTAGAAAGCATGACCGTTCAAATAGCTATGGATGGTAGTGTAGCACAGTAACCATTGAGGTTTGTGTTTTGGAGAGTTAAGAGAGGATTGTAAATTATGAGAGTTTTAAATAATATATGAGGGTTATAAATAAATAAAAAAAGTTCCTTGACTGTAGTGGTCTTGGGGAGGCAAATAACATTAAAAAAATAAAAACGATCACTTAACACTTACTTAAGAAATGGGCAATCACAAAGTGACTTGACAGGGAACCTGCAAAACTTCTGGGAAGTGCTCAATAGCTTTTAATGGGTTTCATTACATGATAGATAAACAGAAAACTAATCCATTACATGATAGAAAGAAAATTTATTAACTTTTAAAAACTTTAACTAGGTTAGAGGAGTTGCTTTTAAAACTGACAAATTTTTAAAATTTCTAGAATTATTTTTAGAGCTGCTGAAAACTATTTTAATTATAAAAAGTTAGTTTTGCGTTTGTTCTTCAAAATTATTCTCTACAATCTACTCTCCACATAGCATAAACAAAATTGATCTTTGCAACTGGACAGCCATTTTCCTAATTTTCTGAATCAGAGTCAACTTATAGTTGCATCTAGCTAAAACTCTGGTATACAAAATTTAAAACTATAGAGACAGAAATATCAACAAAAACCTATTACAAACTCAGAAACATAAACTACAAAAGAGTTGTTTACTTGCTAAGATAAAAAAAAGTACAAAAATTAACTCCCACCAAGATAATACTCATAGAATAATCTAAACTTCTTAAAAAAAATTCAAAAGTTTTTGCAAAGACAAAAGTTAGCACAGTGACCATCCTAGGCAACTTTTATAAAAGAAAATTTAATTTCAAATTATATAATATAGAACATTCTGTAGACCTAAATATGCAACGATTATAAATAATGATTTTGTTGCACATTTTTTTGTCTTTTTATTAGGAAAAAAAAACAAACAAAAAAAAATCTTTTTTTGCATCATTTTTTTTTTACATTTTAAATTTGATTGTATTTTAACTATATAAAAGAGTTAATAATTAACTAAAAAAAATAATAACTTGGAATTAATAAGTTTTTATCAAAGAATAGAAAAGTTTTTACTAAAGTTTATTTTTATTTTGGTTTAACTGCTCCAAACTCAAATTTTTATTTTATAGACAGATTTTTTTAGACTCAGTTATATCAGACAGATAGAACTCAGTTATATCAGACAGATAGAACTCAGTTAATTTTTAAAGATTCAAGAGTAGTAATCTTCTTTACTCTAGCTTAAAGATTATTATTATTAATATTGTTATAAATACTATTATTATTATTATTATTATTAATAATACACACAATGTGTTTTGCATATAATATAATTGAAGCAAAAAAAAAACTTACTCATTTAAAGAAGGTTTTTCATCCAAATGATCTAAAACCAACAATAAAAAATTTTATCATTGAATTCTATATTCACATCAGTAATACTCAACCTTGGCCATTTAACATGTGTTTCATAAGAATACAATAAAAATAACAATATTATCAGAAACCATAATGCACAACTTTTAGTATTTTTTTGCAACTAAGAAAAAATTGTCCCATAAAGTTTAACAGGTTAAGAACCACTAATCTACAAATAGCAAATTAGTATACTGCTGCATAATGCAGGTCAAGAAGTAAAAGTAAAAAGTAACAAAAAGTAGTAAAAATACTCAAAATAAAAGTTACCATTTTACTTTTTTAACAACATTTTTAATTTTCTTTTAAAATTAAAAAAAAAAATTTCTTTTAAAATTCTAATAAGAAAGATTAAAAGTTGAAATGATGCACGTGTTTGATGTCTTCACCAGCATACTTGTATCAAAATAAAATTTATCGAGAAAGAAAATTAAATCAGGTCAAAACTTTCTCATGTAACTTGAATAGAACTTTAAAATTTTGGATTTGTATTGAAATGCAGTATAAAGATTTCAACTTAAATGTGCTTCTTTTTGTTGTTAATTTCTTTATTATTTAAACTTAATTTTTTTATTGAATTGTTTTTCATTTTTGTTTCATCAACAGTTTTATTTAGAGATAAGTGCAGTGGAGTGCACATACATTGATTGACATAAATAGGTGGAACATGCATGTACATACATCGACTGAGAGTTTTGGTTTGGGCAGGCAATTGAAAAAATTCTTGAACTAAATTTTCAATTAATTTCCTTTCTTGAAATTTTTGATGCAATTCCATAATTCCATTTTCAATACAAATCCGTATTGTTCATTTTGAGTCATTCCTTTCTCATGATTTTGATCAAGGTAATTCTTCATAACTTCACTTAAAACCAGGGGTGTGGAGTCAAACAAAAAAGTACAGAATTTGAAAAATTCTCTAAATTCTTTAAAAAATATTACGCGATGAGTTAAAAAATTTTTTTTGCCGAATTTATGAAAAGTTCTTTGAGGTTTAGTATGTTAACAAGGTTCATTGAATATTTTGTATATGCACGTGCAATACCAAGAAGTTTTACTATTGGAGTCAAAGTCACAATTTTTTTTAGCAACTCCGACTCCGCTAAAAATGTTGCAACTCCGCAACTCCGACTCAAAACCCTGCTTAAATTATTAATAAAAATTATTAGAAAACAAACTTATAAAAAAGACTTTTATCAAACTTAAAAATTAAATCAAACTTTTCAGGAAATTAAACAATACTAAAACATAATAAATTTTTTTACTAACGTATGTGATTTATAATGTAGAGAAGTACAATACTTTAAAAAAAAAAAGTAAAAGTAAAAGTACACATTTAAAAAAACATTTAAAAAGTAAAAATAAAAAAGTAAATCAAAACACTGCTTAATTACCGAAACGTGAAATTCAGAAAAACACTAAATCAAATCCGTCAAAGTGCAATCTAGATTTTACTGACCGAAGCGATTTCCAACAGGATTATAATTGTACTTCAAAATAATAGAAAATCTGCGATGGGGTGTGATGATGGAAGGTAGTAATTTTTTTAAATTCTTTTATTTATTTGGTAGGCATTATTTG